GGTCTCTGGTGCAGTGGGCTCCTGGGAAGAGTTGGTCTCTGTTGCAGTGGGCTGCTGGGAAGTGTTGGTCTCTTTTGCAGTGGGCTGCTGAGAAGAGTCTGTGACTGCTGCAGTGGGCTCCCGAGAAGAGTCGGCCTCTGTTGCAGTGGGCTCCCGGGAAGAGTCGGTCTCTGTTGTAGTGGGCTGCTGGGAAGAGTCTGTCTCTGTTGCAGTGGGCTGCTGGGAAGAGTCAGTGTCTGAAGAGTCTGTGACTGTTGCAGTGGGCTGCTTGCAGTTGCCTGCTGGGAAGAGTCTGTGTCTGAAGAGTCTGTGACTGTTGCAGTGGGCTGCTGGGAAGAGACTGTGCCTGTTGAAGTGATCTTCTGGGAGCAGTCTTGGTCTGCTGCAGTCGGCTTCTGGGAAAAACCTATCTCTGTTGCAGCGGGCTGCTGAGAAGAGTTTGTGACTGCTGCAGTGGGTTTCCGGGAAGAGTCGGTCTCTGTTGCAGTGGGCTGCTGGGAAGAGTCAGTGACTGCTGCAGTGGGCTCCCGGGAAGAGTCAGTCTCTGTTGCAGTGGGCTGCTGGGAAGAGTTGGTCTCTGTTGCAGTGGGCTGCTGAGAAGAGTCTGTGACTGCTGCAGTAGGCTCCCGGCAAGAGTCGGTCTCTGTTGCAGTGGGCTGCTGAGAAGAGTCTGTGACTGCTGCAGTGGGCTCCCGGGAAGAGTTGGTCTCTGTTGCAGTGGGCTGCTGGGAAGAGTCGGTCCCTTTTGCAGTGGGCTGCTGAGAAGAGTCTGTGACTGCTGCAGTTGGCTCCCGGGAAGAGTCGGTCTCTGTTGCAGTGGGCTGCTGGGAAGAGTCGGTCTCTTTTGCAGTGGGCTGCTGAGAAGAGTCTGTGACTGCTGCAGTGGGCTCCCGGGAAGAGTTGGTCTCTGTTGCAGTGGGCTGCTGGGAAGAGTCGGTCTCTGTTGCAGTGGGCTTCTGTGAAGAGTCTGTGACTGCTGCATTGGGCTCCTGGGAAGAGTTGGTCTCTGTTGCAGTGGGCTGCTGGGAAGGGTCGATCTCTGTTGCAGTGGGCTGCTGCGAAGAGTCAGTCTCTGTTGCAGTGGGCTGCTGAGAAGAGTCAGTGATAGTTTTAGTGGGCTTCTGGGAAGAACCTGTGGTTGTTGCAGTGGCCTGTTGAGAAGAGCCTGCCCCCCATAAAGGTAGTTGTTTGAAAGGTTCTGTGGAAAGGTCACTTTTTGTTGTAGTGTGGGACTTGGGAGTGTCTGCCTCTGATGCAGTTAGCTGTTCAATTGCGTCTACCATTGATGCAGTGAGCTTTTGAGAAGGGTCTGCCTCCATTGCAATGGGTTGTTGAGGAGAATCTGTGACTGTTGTAGTGGGGTGCTGAGAAGAGTCTGTGACTGCTGCAGCGGCATGCTGGGAATAGTATGTCTCCACTGCAGTGGACTTTTGAGAAGGGTCTTTCTCCATTTGAGTGGGTTGCTGAGAAGAATTTGTGGCTGTTGCAGTGGGGTGTTGAGAAGAGTCCGTGGCTGTTGCAGTGGGCTGTTGGGAGGAGTCTGCCTCCACTGCACTGGGATGTTGTGAAGTGGCTGCAGCAGATGCATTTAGCTGTATGAAAGGTTGTGTACCTGATACAGTGGGTTTTAGCGAACATTTACTTTCTTTTGCCATGTGGTGTTGGGGAGAGTCCATCACTGATGCAGCAGACTGCTCAGAAGAGTTCATCTCTGCTGCAGTGGGGTTTTGGGAAGAATTTACCTTCACTGCAGGGGGATGTTTGGAAAAGTCTGAAGATACGTCAGTGCACTGTTGGGAAGGTTTATTTCTTGCTGTAGTAGGGTCTGTCCGCACTGCAGTGGATTTTTCAGAGTTTTCACTTTCTACTGCAGTGGAGTGTTGGCAAAAGTCTGTCCCAGATTTAGTGGGGGGCTGAAAAGAGTCATCTCCTGTTTCAGTAGGCTGTTGAGAAGAGGCTGCTTTAATTGTGGTGGAGTGATGTGACGATTCACTTTTTGCTGCAGTTGGCTGTTGGAAAGAGTCAGTTTCTGTTGTAATAGGGAAGTTTTTTGAAGTTCCACATTCTGTAGCAGTGGGGTGCAGGGAAAAGTCTTTCCTCACTGCAGCAGGCTGTTGAAAACAGTCTATTTTAGATGCAGGAGTGTGTTGAGAAGAGTCTGCCTCTGTTGAAGTAGATTTTCGTGAGGGTTCACTTTCTGTGGTAGTGGGTGGTTTGGAAGAGTCAAATTCTATTAAGGTATGCTGTTGAGAAGAGTTTTTCTCTGTTGCAGAGTGGTATTGGAAATACACATTTTCTGCTGTAGATGGTTCAGCCCCTACTGCGGTGGAGTGTTTAGAAAAATCTGCCCCAGTTTCATTGAGGTGCTGAGAAGAGTCTGCCTTTATTGCAGTGGAGTGTTTGGTGGAACTAATTCCAGTTGTATGGTAAAATGCTGGGGAGGGAACTGTATCTTTGTGGTAATTTTTTGAAGGCACACAAGTATCTACAATTGCAAGGTTTGCTGTTGAATTAGAATCAAGAGGCACAGTATCAGAGCATGTGCCAAAAATATTGGGTAAGCTCTGTGCAAGAGTTTGTGAGTCATTTGCAGATAGACTTCCCTCATTTGGAGTGGTGCGTAGTGATGACACACACTTTGTCTGTGGTAACTTTATAGGCAGACAACTCTCAGTCAGAACGGCATGGGAGGGATCTGTTTCTTTAGAAATACGATATTGGTTGAGGCCAGATTCTGTTGAGGTAGTATCTAATGCAACATAAACTACTTGATTTTGTGAGGCACAGAGAGGCTTTTGTGAAAAAATGTTTAAAATGGGGGGTGTCTGGTTTTTAGCTGTAGATACTGTTCTTGCCTCTTCTTTTAGAGCTTGATCAATGTCTCCCTTGAAAACTTTTAAAGATGAGCCAGACTCTTCTGCAAGTTTTTTCTTAAATCTAATTTTTTCAGCATCAGTAGCTCTGTGTAGGATGTCTTTACTCGATTCCTCACATTTGGTGTCTTTATAGGTTTCTTTGATCTCTGTTACTGTGAAAGAGGTATTTTTTGACTTGAGTGGAGTTTCTGGGATCTTGAAAACATGTCCTGTTGTTTTATCTGCGTCAACAGTTGACGGTTTCTCTGGTAGAGTAAACTTTTGGGTGGCTTTCATAGGATTGCTCTGAGAAGCCTTTGCTGCTTCAAGTTTGCGTTTTGCTGCTAACTCTTTGAAATACCTCAGTCTACAGTCAGGGTCATTCATATCTATGAAAGAAGATGACTTTTGCAATAAATTAGATGGGCATTCATCCCTTTGGCTGTTTGTTTCAGGAACTGTTTGAGGCAGATCTTTTTCTTGCAGATCACCCTTTATTGAATTCTTTCTAAGATTTTGGCAGTTTTTAACCTTATCTACATCAGAATTTTCACCCATTTTGTTCAGTTCATCCTCAGGTTGTGCAGACTCTGAGGCGGAGTTATCAAATGTGGCCGACTTTACATAACTGCTCCACTGGAATGGTTGAAGTGGAGAACCAGTCCTGCTTTTATCCAAGATTTGTGACACACGAGCTGAAAATTTAGAAGCGTCATCTCCATGTTTTTCTCCACCAGCATGTTTCATCTCTTCTGATGCATGCAACTCCAAATTTGAACTGAATATCAGTGAGTGTCTCAGTCTGGAACTCCTCTGGACATGTCGGCTGGGTTTCCTCTTGAGGAACTCTTCACTTATCCGGCTAGTCTCTTTAGGTTCTCTATTCTGCGTCTCCTCCACTTTGTCACCCTCAGTGGTGCAAGAAGACTCTGAAGTTGATGCTGGTGTTGTTTTGATATTTATTTGTGATAAGTCAGATGGATGATTAACTGAACTGTCAGGCACAATAGAATTATTCTGAATTTGGACAAACATGGGATTTTCCCTAGGTGAAGGTATCCTGTTAAACTCTCTATTTCCTAGTCTAATTTCAGCACGTATGGGGCCACAAGGAGCTTCCTGCGTAAAACATGGAATGTCATCACATGCAGTGGATCCTTCGAGTTCAGCTAAATCCAGCTCTCCTGCATCATCATATGCACTAAGGTATGAACTGATCCTCCAGTCCCGCAGGCCTTGCTTTTGACTCACATCCTGTGCTTTGCGGCTTACATTGAAGAAACATCTCTGTTCTGGCGGGTTTGGTTGTGTTGGGGAGGTCTGACATGTATAAGGCTGTCCCATGCTATGTCTCTTGAGATTGAACTGCACAGGTGGTAATACATTTCTTGGACCATGTCCTTCCTCCATAGCAGGGTGAGACTGCAAGTATCTTTGAATATGGTCATAAGCTCCAGGTGGTTCATCCTCTTCTCCCTCATGAGGGTAGCCAGGCCCTGAAAACTGACCAATGTGTTGACATTGGCCTCTAAACCTTCCATGCATGTCATAACCAGATTGTAATCCAGCTCCCTTGTGAATACATGGTTCCTGTGCAAAGTGTCCACCATGGGGAATTGCGCCCTCCGTGTACTGCTTTCCTCTTATTGTTGGATGGTTTTGAGGGGGCATGTATTCATAATCAGGAATATTTCCACTGCTATGTCTTTTGAAGCCAACCGTTTCATTTGGTCCTCTCATTTGCCTTCCATGCTCTATAAATTGATGGTCCCTTCTATATTTCTGGGCAGCATGCAGGTTCATATTCCTCTGAACAGAGGGATTTGCTTCTGCTGCACTGTGGATGGATTCACTCCTAAAGGGTAACATTTTGTAACCCAATTTCATATGATCTTCTGTAGTACGCCCAGCACATTCCATGCCCATAGTTGGATATTCTCTGTTAAACATGTGGGTCTTTTCTGTGTTGTAGTAGCTTTCCGGTTCTCCACTAGAGTGCGGCATATTTGCCAAAACATTTTCAACAACCAGTGGCTCTGAATGGGCAAAGAGAATCCGAAACTCTTCATCAAAGGTGGTTACAAGCTGTCCCAGAAAGAGATGAGCAAGACAGCGATGTATCTTCTCAAAAGACCACATGAAGCTGCAACACAAAATTAGAAAATGTATTAGCCAACACATATTAAATGACCATACCAACCTCAGAACACAATATATATAAAAAAAAAAACATATATATTTCACATATAATCATTATAAATTCAAAATATTTTTATGGTTTACAAAAAAACATTAAAAGATAAAATGTACCTACCTATAGTTGCCACTTAAAACAGCTCTGCAGTCTACCAGTATAAAGCGATCCATCATCTGACCTTTGAAGGTCTTTCCTGTTCGGCAGTAGTAGCTACTACCAGACACAGTTCTTACCCGCATGAACTGCAAGTAAAAAGAATATTAATGCATTTGCACCAGTTCAAAACAACCACATTTTAAGTGTCTTTTAAAGTGTACCACCTAATGGTAAAAAATTGTAAAGTCTTAATAACGCTCACATATATTTTTCATACAAAATTCTCAAAATAAGTATGTAACAGTACTTTCCTATTATTTCTATCATAGGAAATTATATTTCTATCATATTCATGATATTTCTGTTTCATGATTGGAAAAATAAATAAATCAATAAATAAATAAATACATTTAAAAAAATCAATGCTAAGGCCATTAATTCATAGGCTGATTTTGAGTAAATTCTATAAAGTAGTAAATCTATAAATCATTAGAAAATAGCTCCAAAACACTCTTGGACTACTCAACTTGTGATAAACACCTATGAAAAGTACCTACTTTTATTTCATCCAGATTCACCCTACAGTTGTTCACCATCGCAACAAAATGGTGAGCATTCAGTTCATCAAGAAGAACATAAACAGCGACACCACGTGTCGCTGCACCAAGGATATCAGCAAAGATGTCAACATCTGTAAACATATCCATTACCACAGCGATAACCTAGAACAAGAAATAATATATATATATATATTACTCAAAGAAAAAAAAACATTATACATTGCAGTGATATCATAAGTTTTAGTTCTTTTTTTTTTCTTTTCAGCTTTTTTTCCCCCTATCATTTTAACCATACATACATAAATGACAAAGAGGCCAATATCAGATGAAGAGAGGTGAAGGGCAGGGAGAACTGTCTACTTTTATGTTTACTTAAGATTTCAGTTTACCAGATTGTCAACAATGATGGCCCAGTCTATTTTACATTAGGCAAAAGTTCAATCATGAAACAGTGCCAAAGAAAAAAGAAAGAAAGAAAAAAAACACAATCTGAAATGCAAACTGGTTCAACTGTGAATTCAGTCTAACAAGAACATTTTGGAGAAAAAACAAAAAACAAAACAAGTCTGCTATGGGAAGTCTGCATGATATTATTACAGTACAGAGGCATACTGTTGTGAATGGCATTACTATAGGCAACAGTGCATGTAATTGCATGCCATTTCATGCCATCATTGATCACACCAACTATTATGATATTAAATGACAGTTCTTGTGTCAATTAGGCATAAAATCAGCATTTTTCATTTAGCACTTTTGGGCAAATTGAAACAAGAAACTTGTATTGTTTGGAATTGAATTAACTGGAAGTTATAATGTCTAAATTGAAATAAGTTAATTAATTTGTGTTTACCAATTAAACCAAAGTTCTCATTAGATTCTACAACACCAATGAGTGCATAATAGCTGTCAATATGTCAAGTTTAGAATGAAAGACCAGCTGTGAAACTTGTGTGACCAGTTTGCCATACAAAGTTCTTACTGTTTACTTGTGAAAACAGTACCAAAGTGATTAAAATCACTGAGCAATAAGGGAAGACAGTCTGTATTTACTGACTTCTGTCATGCACTAATAACATCTTACTTATATTACTGCACTTGGGCAGCATGCAAAACTCACTTGTTGTGCATTCTTGATCATTCTGCGGACTTGCTCCTTGATACTGGGCATCTCGGGATCAGACGGATTCACCAACGTAGTGACCTCAGTGGGTCCAACAAATCTGAATTGCTGCGGCCATCCTAGGTCCAGGCTCGGAGCATCATGGTCTGAGTGTACCGGCCAGTAAGTGTCAGAAGAGCCATCTACATCTTCAGCCATGTATCGCCTCTCTGGTTGGGCAGTGTGATGTGGAGCCTGCACCATGCATTTGATATACTCAATCTCTGAACGGGATAAGAAATCAACCACATCTGCTTCCTGAAGAAACCCATAGTAGCCCTCCAAGTCAGCTTCAACCAGGGCGTCAATCGCCATTCGGTATTCCTCACGGTAATGAGGGGTCAGGTAGTTGGGGTCCAGGGGATTGTCCCCGGCAGAGGAGCACTGGGAACGATGAGCCATATTTACACCTGCACCAATGCAGACAGATTAACAACAGAAAAAAAAAAGATAATACACATTAATTCCACATGAGGGCAACATCTGTTTGCTCCCCAAGTACATTAAACATATGAGAATCAAACATGTGCCTAAATTATTGTAGGTGCACACATTTTTATATAAGCAAACAAACCAAAATAATTATGATGGATATATTTAAAATCTAATTTAAATAAAAGAAAAATACTGCTCACATAAATGGAAACGTGTAGGAGGATTTTTTAAGACCTAACCCAATGTCTGTTTCAATTATTTTTTGAGTAGTTAAATGTTATTTATTTATAGTCATCCAGTGACATCCAAATCACTAAGAATGGATGTTAATAACTCAATATATAAATGTTACAAAAAGCCAGAAATCTAATGTTACATTTATACCCTAAACTACACAAGTCATAATATCACACTATGATTTCAGTTCATCCTTTTTTTATTATGTATTTAGAAATAACTGTTAAATTGGTCACAAGCTGATTTTTTATTTTTTTATCATTATCAGTTATGGTTATTTATGGTCATCATCAGTGTTGGGGGTAACGCATTACAAGTAACGCGAGTTACGTAATCAGATTACTTTTTTCAAGTAACTAGTAAAGTAACGCATTACTTTTTAATTTACAAGAGAATATCTCAAGAGTTTACAAGAGTTACTTTTTCAAATCAGTAACGCAAGTTACTTTTTTTTCCCAATTTATTGATTGACAGCTCTCCTGTCCCCATTTTGAGAGAAATCAGAAGATGTTACTGTAGTTCTAAAATAAATATGAATATGCATTAATTCATCTCACTCACGAAAAAAAAAAAAAAAAACTTCTTCTGCATTCTACTGTACGGACGTAAATTTACTTTCCCTTCAGCCTGAGGCTTATTCATTTCACTTTTGGTGTGAAAAGGCTTTTATATTTGCCAAAAATAGAACTTTTTTATTTTAAAAACAAACAAGCAAGCCCTGTCCAGATTTTAAAAGTAACGCAAAAGTAACGTAACGCACTACTTTTCATAAAAAGTAACTAAGTAACATAATTAGTTACTTTTTTATGGAGTAACGCAATATTGTAATGCATTACTTTTAAAAGTAACTTTCCCCAACACTGGTCATCATGCATTTAGGGTAGAAATAAAACAGTCATAATTGTGTGCCATTGCAACCTAATTAAGGTCTGAAAGGGTTAAATACAATATGGATACTAAAACAGAAGAAAAAAAATAAACGAACACGGCGTCCATTTCAAGTCTAAAAGCCACATTAAAGTAATCTTAGTCAACACGTCAAGTGAAAAGATCTCTGGGCTTTCTATTAAATCTATTCTATTATAATGTCAGCCAAATAGCACGAATCCTGTACTTTATCAGCAAATCATTAAGAATTAATCTGAAAAGATCTCACATCTGCTTCAACAAACCCGGGGTGTGTCGCAACAACAGAGAGCCCACCATGTATAGGGGCTAAACTTGTCAGATTTTTTCCCACTTGTATTTATTTAAATACAAATCATCGATTGTTAACTTCATCACAAACATGTTTTCTTTCTCACGAGGATCGACGCGACTCCGTTACATTTTATAAGTCGCGAATCGTGAAGCTCTCAAAGCTTCGCGAACTTACTGCTAAGCATCAAAAAAGTACAATTATGAAATATAATGACGTGTTAAAGTTTTCTCACATAGATTTAAACTCAACTTACCAGTCTAAAGTGCCGTTTCCCCTTAATTCCTTGTGTAAAATCCCTTCATCGATGTAAGACCGTCATAACGAACGACAGACGTTTTAACTTTCAACTCCAGTTGAAGAAGAGGACATCACACACATCCAACACACGCACACGCACACACACAGGCAAACCTGTTTGTGTTTGCCCGCAAGACAAAAGAATGATACAGTCATGCTCAAAATAAGCGTGTGTCCATCTTTTTAAAAACCATACACTTAGGCTACTTGAGTTTCTGAGTGGAAGTTGTTAAGGACAGACAGATTTCATGACATGATTGATTCCATAACATTATTGATTTCCATATGAGTATATGCAAAGTTAATAATTCTCAATCCTAGTCAATCTTTAACTAAACAACACACGGTCCTGATAACAAAGCCTTGATCTGGAGCTCAAATACACACAAATTGGAGAATAGCCTATGTGTTGGCTGAACACAGTCAGTCAGAGGTCACAGGAAAACTTCCACTCAGCAATAACACAGCTCTTCAGACACTATACATATCATATTATTAAAATCATCAGTACTGAATTAATTTAATGCTCTTAAGACTAATATGATTAGTCTAAACAAGTGTTGGCTAAATATGAGCTGGCTGTGAACTAATTTAATAGTAAACAATTTACTTGCAGTAGGTCTGAATTGTAGGAATTCTAATGCACAAATAATACTGATTAAAGTAACAATAACTTATTTAGACAAGGCCATACAACTGTTATGAACATTCCTTATGTCAAATATATTATCTGGATAACCAGTGATTGATTTTATTTTGTATATAACAAAATTGTATGTGCAATCGAAGTGCAGATAAAATAATGGGGTCAAATGAGACTGAACTTGTTTGGCTGGAACAGATAACTTCTGTAAAGACAGCAGGGTCAGAAAAAAAAGAACATAGTCTATGTGAACAAAACTGAAATATGTGATGGGTAGCAACTAATTACAGTGCTATATACATAATTTATCACTATGCATGTTATATATTTATATAAGAACATACTGTATATAACAACATGTCTGCACGTACTTTAAATAATTGATCAGTATGCATGTTCCGTGTAATGCAATGTAAAAATTCCCTTCATGTTATGCAGGAAGAAGTTATTTAAGTTCACAGTGACTTGTGGGCGGGTAGATGATGACAGAATTTTCAGTTTAAAGCAAATGATCTGTGGAAGACATGACTCGATTGAACTAACTACATTTTTTAAAACATACTACAACTGTGCAATTTATCAAAAGATATTACAAATGTTCTTTGGAAGTTGCATTTAAAATCCAGTAGGCTCAAATATCTTACTGGATATGTGCTGAATAAGCATTATGTTTCTGCTGAAAGCATAATGCTCTAAAATAACATATACACAGTGCTATTGTTATAATCTTGTTTGCAGAGTTTCAGAATAAGGGTGTGACTTATGTATATGCCAGCGTCACCATGGGCAACGGAGATGAAATCACATCATTTCTACACCAGAAGGTCTTCTTCAATGTGGTTTATCTGGAAGCGATTAATCTTAGCCACCAAAGTGCGATTAGTTCCTGAAGGAGAACCACTTCACTTCTAACTTTAAACCCAATACTTTGCCACAAAATGCTTGAACATTTTTCAAACCGCATTGTCAAATTCACCTCAATTTTAAGTGTGCATAACTGTGCGACAGTCTATTTTGATTAAGGCTAAAAATGTTCCATATAAATTACATTTTAATTGTATTTTTTTATTAATATATATTGTTGACAGCTCCTCAAACAAAAACAGTTTGTTTAAAACTTAAACTTAAACTTTGATTTATAGTCTGTACACAAACTCAAGCCTCAAGCTCGCATTTATTAGATAGTAAGCGCTATTGATCCAATGTTTATAAAGCTTGAATTCTATAATGCTGTTGCATATGAATTTGTTTCCCTTCCAAGAAAAACTTGGCTACGGGAGGGCTACAGGACATGATGTCATTTCTCAAGTGCATGCCTGAACAATCCTGCATTGTTTCAACAGACATCGCCTAAAGCACATATTGCAAGCAGCGTTAAGGGTGAAAATGTACGTGAACTCATATCTAAAAACATTCCAAGTACAGAAGTCACATGTTTTCACAGATATCACTTCACAGCTAATCCGCATGTGTTTATACCTGTTGTGCACATCACAGATCTTTAATGCTGAAATGTCTTGACAAGCACAGATTTCTTTTTTGTGCTGAAACATGAAAAGGACATATCAAAGGCGTAGCCCCTTTTATGATCAAATAATCAATAGCCATTAGTTGAGTCACAGTCGATGCTACTTGTTGCTGCAAGTCAGAGGTAGGTGGTATTCATGGGCAGGGCATTCTTATCTTAAAGAGCATTTGATTGGACAAAAATATGGCTACATTATAAATACCAAGGGGTGAAGGTTTGGCTGTTTAGCATGGTCCAGCTAACCCCTACTGGGAGATCCTGTAACTTTATGGAAGCTTGTTTCCGCCACAGGATAACAGGATAGCACAGGATAGAATTTTTTAGCAAGCAACATATATTGCAAACAGTTCATTATTCTATAGTTATATATGTTTCACCAGTGGCCAAATTATTTTGAACGGCACTTAAATGCACAAAATGGACTTATTTTGCATATGCAGAATATATTCACAGATATGAAAATGTTTGAGAAAAAGATTTTCTGTAGTATTTGTATCGGAGGCATTTGACCAGCTAACATTCTGCATTGTGCCTGCATGTACTGTAGTTCTCCATCTCTAAGTGCATCTACAAAAGATTCTGTAAGCCTTTGCACACAAACAATATGAAAATAATGTTTTGGCCTGCAGCCAGATCCATGCAAATGAGATCACTCCATCATTTTGTCAGAATCCGGTTGAATATTATTTGCATGCATTGAAAAGAGAGGTGGGACTGTATTAGCAGCACTAATACTAATTGAACAGCATCTATATGTGAAGGTAATGTCATCAAATTGTTGATGTTTCTTCAACTATTGGCACGTCTGGCCCAATAAACAATATTCAAATAATACATTTATTTAAATATTTTTGGAATACACTGACCAACTCTATTATCTAACTAAGGCTAACCTCACAGCCAAAAACATACCCTAAAAATATATAGTTTTCTACACCACTCACCTGAGGTAAAAGTAGAAAGACTGTACGAAATTATTATACAGGATTTATTATACAGAAATTATTATACAGAATTTATGGGACAAAAATAAATGTTCACATCTGGCTTATAATTTGATTTGTAGACATGTTAATGGAAGGGAAATTAATCAGCAGGGTGTCATGATAGATACAATTAGATATCTAACATCCTCACAAGTTTTTACAAAACAACAAAACTAGAATGATCATTACTGTTTAGAAGGGGAGGGTTGTAACAACTTTCCAAAGTACTCACTTGGCTCACAAAGACTGCATAAAATAGGCCAGTGTATATTTGACACAATTCTGTCTAGACATTTTATGTTTTGGTTCAATTTTGGTTCCAATTTGTTTGCACTTTTGAATAGGAGAACTCCTTGTGTGTTTTTTATCCCCTATTTTGAATAAAAAATGCTTAAAATAAAATTAACAGTGGGATAGGAAGTAACAACAGTATTATTTTCTTTACACTCATTTACAATTTACAGAGTAGGAATTCTTAACTACATTCATTTGGTTTAGATAAAGTGGAAATATTATATCAAAGTTTAAAACATAAGGACAGAAGAAACAAGGTCTGAAAAACATTCCCATCTCTTCTGTCCCCGTTCATTCTCTCTAACACTCTTACCTGCACTTGCATTTTTCCTCATGAGCAGCTACTGGGAAGGGTGTCTAAGTCATATCATGTAACCAATCTGAGGTGCTTCAGGGTTCAGTGCTCAGCCCGCTTCTTTTCTCAATTTACCAATCCTCTTCATCATAAAAGTATACACTTCTCCAATGGTTCTTAACCTGGGGGTCTGATGACATGATAACCAGATGACATTGAATTAACAGATTAAACATTAAAATGATTATATATATATATATATATATATATATTAAACAACGCAAAAAGGAAACACTTACAACCCAAGCATATCAGCAGGTTCAGACTAGCTGTGTTACAAGTGTGACCAATTTTGCACTTAGAGGAAAATGTACTTCTTGGGAAAAAAAATCTAATTTGTGTAAAGATCATTGTATATAATTAACCCCCTTTTATTTTTAACTCTTCTTTTTATATTTCAGGTGTGCAAGTGTTTATGTACATGCAGATGAATACAGATAACTTGGGATGCTCAGATTTGTAAAATTCCTTCTTTTCCCTCTATAGTGTAGTAATCTTTAGCTATTCAAAATTGAACTGTGTGAAGGGCTAAGCCATTTGTCATCTTTTAATACAATGCTAGTGACAAATTACCAGAAAGTGTCCCACTTTACCTATTCATACTATACATACTGAACACACCTCTCTAGAAGTTTCCTCCATACTAAAAATATCAGGTCAGACCTACAAAAGGGTGAAAGCAGAAAGAAACACAGACTGACAGATGAGACTTAACAGAGCACACCTCATAAAATAATGTGATGGCATTTCCCTTCTCAGGTTATAGGCCTTCATCAACCTTCATACTGTGTGTAAACAAATCCAGGTTGCTTGAAGCACCAATTATAGAAATAAATATGCATATGATTAGTCTAAACAAGTGTTGGCTAAATATGAGCTGGCTGTGACTGGCAAATTAGGTGGTTATATTGATTTTTGGACTTTCGGATTCCTGATTTTCTGCAACTCATTTGGGGAACCAGTCCAGAAACCCACAAATTCCCCGTTGATAAATTGTACCAAGTTAAAAAAAAAATTAATCCAATGCAGAATAGAGACATATAATAGAGACAGAATAGAGCAAATCTAGTTAACAGGTTAAGCTTTAGAGAAACCATGTGAGAGAGACCTGACAGGGAATGTTGCACACATAGCTTCTTGTTCAGCATTGGTCAGACCTGTTCATTCAACAGGCTTGTACAAAGGTTCAGTGTCAATTCAGTGCAGCAAACATGGGACAGTGTTGAAGAGAAAGATTTACAGCTCAACTCTGAGAGGAAGAGAACTGGTTTCAGGTATTAC